TCGTGGCCTCCAGACCGTAGTCGGGCGACCGTGGGTTGATTCTCCGGCCGGTAACCAGCCTTTATTCTGGGCCTGCTCAGCGAAGACGGGGGGGGGCAGAAGGAAAGAGGAGGCCGACGTAATGGTATGCACTGTTCCCTTTATTTTCTTAACTAGCCGAACCGGCCACTTCACTCTCTGTTCTCACACAATCACAACAAAAAAACACACGCCCCTGCGTGGTGACGTCGAGCCCTCGCGTAACTGGCTCCGCCTATAACACTACCCCCACTCTGGATGATGATGAACACATGACATCAATCCAGCATAACCACGTTACAGCAAAAAGAAAAAAAAACGACCAGTAACTGCTCAGCCCGACCCAGTCTTACTCCAACAGAGCAATAAGAAAAGAAGATAATCCCCACATCGTGCCTTAATTCCCATCCTTACAAACCAAAATTACCCACACTTCTCCCAACAGGTACTAACCAGTGACAAAACAGTACCAACCCCGGAATGTCCAATCCAGTTAAACCCGAAATCCTCCAACTGCAGAATCCGGTAGCTAAACAAGGGAATGAACAAACCATGCATGCACAAAGTACAACAGCAGTCTGGAACTCTTTTTCACAAAATACTGCTCACATTTTTTTTTTTTTCAACCGAGCAGGGCAGCGATCCGCCTACACCCTAGCTGGTTTGCCAGGTTCAATGATAAGCCCAGTCACCCAGTCTATTAGGTGCTTGACGGGTCCTCTGAGGCCGTGGTGAACGGTCTGAAACCATGGGGGAGTTCAGTCCATCACAGGTCAAAGATGGATGTGCGTCATCATTCTGCTGAGCCCCAGCAGAACAACCGGGAAGCTGGCCGCTCATTGGAGCCGATGATGAAGCTTGCGATGACAGGTCAAAGTCATCAGAGGCAGCCCCAGCGTGGCCCTCGGTGTCAGGTATGGTATCCCACAAGTCAAGGGGGCCGTTGTCCAGCTCAATGGTAACGTCGTCCTGTGGTGGGACCCGTCTCTCCTGTGGTGCCCACTTGTTGGCAGCCTGAAGGACCCAGTCTTTGTCCAGTGGCGTCCTGGAGTGGAACGGTTTGAGCTTGTCATGGTGAACCACCTTTGCTTTGGCTCGTGGGGTTTTTTGGATACAGTAAACCAGGTCGTCGAGGAGAGCAATAATGAAGTAGGGGCCTTCATAATAGGGCAGAAACTTCTTCACCTTGTTCTTCACCCTCTTAGTGCTTTTGATCAGGTGCCATACTGCATCTCCAACTCGGTACTGTCTCTGACAAATGTTTTTGTCATACTGACGTTTTGCTCGTTCTGTCGACTTCCCCAGCGACTCACGGGCTAGCTGATGCGAGAGTTCCAGCCGCTCCCTGAGCTGCAGAACACTCTGCGGGGGGGTACTACCTCCGCTGTCGTCAGGTGGCAAGCCTGCAACCAGGTCAACCGGTTCTGAGATCTCCCGCCCAAAGATCATCATATTAGGTGTCAGTCCCGTGGAGCTGTGTTTGGTTGCGCGGTAGGCCATGAGTGCATAGGGTATCATCACATCCCAGTCCCAATGGCACCTCTCTGCAGTGGCAGCCAAGATTTTCTGGAGAGTGGCATTGAACTGCTCAACTTGACCATCCGACTGGGGGCGGAGAGCAGGAAAGGAAAAGAAAGAGAGGCAGGTCGCGCCGAGCGGACCTGACAATTGCTCTCTGCTGATAATGGGATGTCATTAAGTTTAAAGCAACTTGAAGTATTAAAGCCTGAATGATGGAATTGCTTATTTAACAATGCATTTAACATTTCATTTAGCAAAGAAAGTAAGTCACTAACAGTGCTAACAATATTTTCATCTAGAGCTATAGGCGGCAAAGCACAACACTGTACTTGGCCACTGAATGTTGTATTTATAAAAGATCAAAACCATATGCAAGACTGACCATTTTATTATCCTCTCCAGATATTTAAATATACATTATTATGTGATAGTCTAAAATATGAGTCTAAATAACCATAAGTTAAACTAAATTCCAATTATTCTAAATCATGTTTCATTATTGTAAAAGTAGTTCCAGTTCTCACCGCTGACAGGCTCCCACTTCTTTTCTACCCCCATTTTCAGGCAAATGAATCCTGCAGGCACCGATTTAAAGTTTGGGGTTTTAACCCCTTGGTCACATGACCCAGTCAGTCAACCAATGGTAGAGCTCAGCTCAGATTTCAGCCTAAGAGGAGAAAAGGGAATAAAGAGGCAGGAAGGGACATGCGCTGATCTGTGCTCATGGGTTGGACAGCATATGCTGTAGTTTGCCGGCAGTGACAACATTTCTTTACATTCTCTCTCAGCTTGGACTATATGTGATGTGCTTTTGGAATATTTGGATGGCACCTTTTAAGGTGAAAGGAATTCCCACCACTGGGAAAAGTCCAAAAATGTGTCCTGGAACAGAGTGAGGAGAAGAGGAAGAAAAGGAGGAGGAGGGAAGACAGCAGCAAATTTTCCTTTCATCTTTGCTTCCGAAGGCGTCTCTTCTGTGGTAGAATGGGCGCAGGAGCTCTGACCATCTGTGTGAGTAGAAGCTACAAAGCCTGAGTTGGCTCAAAAGACTTTCCATTCAACCTGTGATTAAGGCTGAAAGAATGCATAACGGGACTATGTTGCTCAGTGTCAGTCTGCAAACTCATTTGAGATGGTGTGCATGTTTAACGTTCTGGTGGACTTTGAATGGGGTTTTAAAATGTCAAGGAGGGACAAATCTCTTCTTCCTGCAGTAAAACTAACTTTTCTTCCCTAAGTTAAAGTAGCTTTTCTCAACAAATGCAACTACTGTACTTTGCTTTACAGTGTTTAACAGAGAAAGCAGCTTTCCTGCCCCCATCCTTGTACAAGAGAAAAGGCAGAGAAAACAAACCACTGTAACCTTCGTGTTTCTAGTCCATATCTCTAAGTTATTCCAAGCAGTGATCCAGTGCCTCCATGAGGTCATTTGCCACAAGATTTCTGTAATGGAAATGCTGAGAAGAATTAAACTGTAAATACTAAGAATTAAGTTACTACAACTAAAAATAGGAAACCACAAAGTATTTTTATATACTTTTAAAAATGTCATGTCACAAGCAGTAGCTTTTTTTTGAGCTGAGCAGCTGTTAGTTGTCTTTTTTTCCGCTCCACTGGCCACCCACACAGGGAGAGAGACAGAGCCAAGTGGAGGAAGGGGGCTGAGGGGTGGGAAAAGGGGGCACATGTTTGAGCTTGTTTTAAAGACACAGGAAACTGACATCTCTTGCAAGTGTAGTTGCATTCAGTCTTATGAAAAAGACTGTCATTTAAGATATCCAGTTCAAGAAAAGCATCCCAAGCAGACAGTTCCAGATCTCCCCTACAACCCCACCTCACAACAGTCCCCTGACAAAAGGTTTCTTTCTCACTGTCAGAAGTCAGAGAATTTATTTTAAGGATGGGGGAGGAAAGAGGAAGATATTAGGCTAATCACAGCAGACTGCCCTGGTAAAACAACAGAATCCACACAAAGCAGAAACTTCTGACACAACTTTACCCACTGCCAAAGTTCAACATATATATTGGCCAATAGAGTCCAGAAATTATGTAGGATTACTGACCTATTCATTGTCATTATTATAATATAATTTTACATACATTTTGTGTGTTGACCAGTGCATTATGTCACTTTCAGTTTTTATTCTGATCTTAAACAAAGTGTTTGGACAGTTTACCATGTGTTCTGTATGTTGTAGTGAGGCATAACTCCTTTACTTGTATCTGACGCTTGTTGTTGTTGTTGTTGTTGTTGTTTTTAAGGCTGTTGATCATATTTTGGTCTTGTTTCTCATTTGTTGACAACATCCACAGTAAACCACCTTTAAATTGTTTTGGGTATGTTATTGGAAAGTTACCTGGATAGACCCAGAAATGTGAAGTAACAAAAGTGTTTTTGTGACACAGAGTCATATAAAGAAGTCCAATGTGTCTTGATGTGGCTGAACAGAGAATGTGTCAGACTTGTTTTAATTGAATGGCATTGTGTATGTGTATTCGTGTTAACATACATCTGTCTATGCAGACTGATGAACCCTGTGTGAGATTAGGCTTGTGAAGATATGTGGTTTTGTGTATTGCTAAATACCGAAGACAAAGGGATATAAATGTGTGTGTGCGCATGATTTGGGGGACATCTGTTCAGGTTTCTCAAACCTAGCTCAGACTGACTTAAGTCTTTAACACTGGTAGTACTAGTAGAAGTATTATTGGAGCCAGTTTGCAGCCCTGAAAAGTTTACCCAGTGCTCATACCAGTCATAAAACCTAGAAATTGTAGGATAATTTTTTTTTTACCATACATCGGGAAAGGTTCTCTCACATTATAAAAAAAAATAAATTCTGAACCTAGAAATTGTAGGATAATTTTTTTTTTTACTGCTGTAGTAACTTTGTGTAACTACAGTCATGTGTTTCTTATCTTTTGTCTTGTCCATTAAGTCTTCTGAGGCAGCCATAAAGCAGGCAACATCACAATTCAAGCGTACTTAATTAGCCTATTTCATACTCAAGGGGCAATTGGCATATTTCTTGCACCTGCCAGAGATGATTTGATAACTGAGCACCATTAACACATATCTCCTTGCCTGTAAAAGCTTCTCAGAATGTGGATGCATGTCTTATTAACACTGCCAGAGCATCTGCCATGGTAAAGATCTTGCCTCATTAGTCATTTCTGCACCATCTGTGGGGTAGGCTTTTTAATCAGCTGACCTGAGTGAGGCTCATGCCTGTTCTCATTCTGTCTAAATTACAGGAAATAAATTCAGTGGTCCTTCTTCTTCACCGCCCACTCTACCTTCTTAACATAGTAAACCCACTGTGCTGTGTGGCTATATCATAGTCAGGGACTCTCATTTCAGCGTGTCTCAGTTCACTCATTTGATGTGGTGAACTCTGGAATGACAGGTTGTCACATGGTGCAGTTGTAGCTATGGCTACAAGCAGCTACAAGAGTAAAATGTTGCTCTTAAGGACAGGAAGTTTTTTTCTCATTACCAAGAGTCTGAATATTGCTTCTGGATTTTGTCTTAAATATCTTGCTCTTGTTATAAATGAACAGGCAGAAGCACAATACAATGTAGTTATATGTGACAAACATGAGCATTTTACCCTGCTCTGTTTAATGTTGCCTTATTGAATATGAATGATGTTCTGTAGGGAGTGTGTGTGTACACTTAGTGTTTACTCGGCCAAAGAGAGAGTGTGTTGTACAGTCTGTGTATCCATGTGGAGAAGTAGAGACAACATGTGGCTGTGTTTGCCTTGATAAGTCATTAACATACATATCCCCCACAGCTGGTGACTTAATGTAGCACATTCAGCTTGTGTTTAAACTCTGGTCTTGTCTGCTAAGGAGAATAGGTTCAGCCTGACAAATGGAGCACAACACAGGTGGAAATGCATTTACTCAACAACTGTGCCTAAATACAGTTCTGAGGTATTGCACTGCATTATTTCAATTTAGTTTTACAGGAAACTTAAACCGCATTACAAAGCCTTATGTTGGTTTACTGTTTGCTTACTCCTTGCTGTTGCCTTGCATGGGGATATGTACTATGGCTGCACAATATTGGAAAAACATGCGATATGCGATACGGGTGTTGAATATTGCGATATCGATATTATTGCGATATTTAATATTCCCCTGAAGAAATGGTATTTTCATTATCTAATCGAAGAAATACACTTTAATGTGGCAAAATACGCAGGCTATATGTATTCTGATCGAATTAATTGTAATTCAGGCTAACTATTATGTGGTGCGAACAAACTTCACAAATACTACTGCATACCTGTTGTAACAAAAAATAAAAAGGCATTACTCTCAATCATTTTATTCACATGTAACCATGTGTACAACATGTAATTGCCAAGAGCATCTGAACCAAGAGCTTTAACAGCTTTGAAACAAAACATTGCCTTGCTTGCCTGGTTTTCTATACATATTAAATAAATAAATAAAAATATTATAAAATCTTAGAAAACAAAGTGCCCAGACTGTAAGTAAATTAGTATTACATCTTTTCAACATTAATGTAATAGCATGTAAACAGGAAAATGTAAACTTGTATTCAAACTCTATTTGTGCCTAACACTGTGAAAACAATATTACTTTAAGTTTTTTGCCAGAAAAACGAGCATGTTGACTTTGGTAGGTTTTAAACAAGTGCGTTGGCATGTAACAACATTTCCTGATGCACTAAAAAGTCTCTCTGAAGGTGAGCTGCTTGCAGGTATACAGAGGTACTTTCTAGCTAGTTTGCTCAGGTGTGGGAAGTTGACCTGATGGAGTTGCCACCAAGTGAGAGGGTTCTCCTCAGTGTCTACTGTGGGAGATACCAGGTAGCTGTTGAGCTCTGCCTCTACGGAGTGTGATGGTACCACAGATGAAGGAGCTGGGGATGTTTTGAAGAAACTGCCTAAGGATTTTTTGGCCTTCTTTTGGATTGCTTCTGATGGATCCATGCTGTCATCTTGATTGCCTGCGTTTTGCTCCTAGAATATGAAAATATGAAAATTCTGTAAGTAAAATGTAGTTAGTAATTTGAATTTTTACTTAATCACAAATTAACATTTACCTTTGGCATAAGTGCTTCAATTTCAGACATCACTCTTG